GGATAAATACTTTGCACAACTGAGATCCTTCAAAAGAATGAACTCTAGAAAGAAATTCCAAAAGTTATTTTCAAGCATGTTGTATGCAATGGACATATTGGAAACTGTGTACAGCTATACAATGTGATGACATTTAAAGGACAAAATTCATTTAGATCTGTACATTTGATTTTCTTTATTGAAAAAACAACTTCATTTGAGGCATACCAGGACCCAAGTTATATTTTCCATTTTTCCCTAAAGTCAGATCTGGTATAACACTACAACTAATGCCTGCACATGCACCACGTGCCAGACACCAGGACAAGCATGTTCCACAGCTTGCACTGAATCCTCACGTGAACTTGTGGCCCATTTCTTAACTACATTTTGCAGATGAGGAAACTGAAGTTGGTGGAGAAGCCTTTGTCTAAGGCAGTGTGTCTCAATCTGTTTTTCATTGGCACCTCCTCTAAGGGGCCCTTTTAGACTCTTTTCCCCCCTAATTGCCCAGTGCCAATTTTAATACCATGAATGCACAATGCTGTTTTCATATATGTAAATCTGCGCTTTATACACACAATAAGTTTATAAAAATCTCCCCAAAACAAATTCACACCTTGAGAGAGGACAGCACTGCTGGTACGAACACACGCTCCACAGCTGCACAGATAAGACAGTGTGGTGGAGTGTGGCTCAGAATCCAGGCTACATGACTATAGGCCCATGTTACAGTCTCTAGACACAGTAATGTTTCTTTATGATCTTGCCCTCCTGCAGTTTTGGCTCCTTAAATACCTTCCCATCATCCTCAGGATATGGCACATCTCCCTTCGATGAGGCCCTCATGATCTGGCCCTTGCTGTCCCCACACTCTGCTCCAACAACACCGAGCCACATGTATCTGCTTGCAGTAGGCCAGGCTTTTCCTCCCCAGCTTCATTCTTCCACCCTCTTCACCTGGCTGACCGCTGCTTGGGCTTCAAGCTTGGCCCAGGTCATCCAGGGAGCTTTCCTTGACCTCAACCCCCATTCCAGGTTGGGTTGAAGCCCTTCCTATATGCTGTTATAGCAACTTGGATTTACCCTTCTCCAAATACTCCCCATACTCTATTATATTTATTCATCTGCCTCTTCCAATAGACTGTGAGGGCCATCTCTAATGGCCTCATCTCTAACTCTCTAGGCTCACCAGGATGCATGGCAGGAACTCTGTAAGCATTGCATAAAAAACAGGAAGCTGAAAATGGCTCCAGTGCACATGCAATAGAAACAGCTTTATAATTTTTTAAGTAACAGAATACCTAGCTGAACCTTCTACTCACTTTTTTAGGTCTTGATGGTCCTTTGGACAACCATCCCTTGTTCGGCTTCAGTCCAAGGTTTTGATGGCAGTGACACTGATCCTACTTCTAGACTCCAGAGTTAAATATAAGACCTAGGCCTGACAAGAGTGTTCCATCCTTTTGACCACCAAACAACTCCAGGGTATGGATAAATGATGTAAGTCAATAATAAGAGATGCCATGTTAGGACTTAAGTGGAACTATTAGAGGAGAAATATTCCCTTTCCACTGGGGTGGAGGCATATCAGTCTAACATGGCCAGAGGCTGCTCTGTGGAACAGACAGAGGGCCTGCCTAAGCGAGAAGACCACACAGAGAGCAGATCCCATAGACTGAGGGCAAGAGAAACACACAGACCAAACCAGCTAAGTCCTGATGTTCCATCTTACAAAGCCAGCCAGGCCCAATGCTCCTGAACTTCTCAATTCCATGAATCAAACTTTTTTTTTTTTTTTCCTTGAGCTTAAGGCGTTTTGAAATGGATTTTTGTCAACTGCAACAGAAAAGGGTTCTGGGCAACACAGTGGGTGATGATATTGCCAACTATTTGGCCCACAGCAGGCTTTCAACAAATGTGAGTTCTCATGCTCTTCCTTGGTCAAAGAATGTGGCTCAAAAAGAAAGGACAGTGATAGTACCTACCATACAGCTCTGTTGTGAGAATCACATGAGATGGTGCCACCCGAGTGCTTGGCACAGCACCTGGCACTCAAAAAGGACTCACTGAAAACATTAGCACTAACACCACTGTACAGTGGGAGATTTGGAAGAGACAGACTTCAGAGACCTTGAGTGTAGTTTTCCACTATTTCATGAACCTATTAAGTTGTAGTATCAACAACTCGGAGAAAACACACTCAAAAATCAGAATAACTGCAAAGGGCCAGTCCTTGGTTGTGGTAGAAACTGCTGCCACAGTGAGCAGGTTTGAACCTCCCGGTGCCAGGCCTGCCGCCTGAAGAAATGATCCAGGTGGTTTTGATCTGCCTCAATGCTCTACTTATGACAAATCTGTTTGCCAATCATCCAGTCTTACTGTGCCTCAAAAGGCAGAAGAGAAGCACTGTTGTTCTAGCTAAAAAACTGCATTGCCAAAGGGAAACACACGGCTCCTCTGTATTTACCAATTTTCTATGTGAGCCCCCCAATGCTTCCTTCTTTCGCATTAATAATTTGTAAAAAGTTGGACAGAAAAAAGGTCCTTGTCCCCTCTGGGCTGTATGCTTAGCCAACTCATTCATCCTAACACTAATTTAATTTTACTTTCCTTGCTCTATAAGAATTTTCTTCTTCACACTCATTTTTTGTGCTACTGGGATTAGGAATCTGGTAAAAGCTCAAGTCCAGACTCTGTTGGATGAAGTTTAAAGCTCTGGTTACTTTAAATGAAGCTTTTGAAGAAATATATGCATACATGTATAATAAACATCATAAAAACATTTCAGACAGGAAATATTAAGATATTATTCAATTCATATTTTCCATTTGGACTCACTGAGTTTTTCAGAAGTATAAACATTGTCATTTTCTAAAGGGAAAATACATTTTGAATGGAAGGATTTTAAAGCTGTTTACTACATGACACAGCCCTTCCCTATAAGAAACCTGAAGTAAATACTCATGTTTTGGCCGGCTGGGTATGGATGCCTGTTTGGCCCCATGGTCCTTCTTGGTCACAGTGATCCATTTTGGGAGGGGGTAGAGGATCCAAGGTGGGCCAATCAGAAACAATTCGGAGGGTTTTGCTAGAATTGCCAGGTACAAGGTGTTTCTTTATGCTGTGGCAGCTGTGGGACTTCTCTGCTCCCCTGTAGTGACAGCCTGAGACTAAAACCAAACAGTGCTGACTGAGCAGAGCCATGAGACAGGCATGCTGACCTTGTTAACCTCACCTGATTAGTTAAACTCACACTAGGTGGCCTCTAATTTACCAATGGGCTTCAAACATATTTGCACAACACTTTTTCCTGAAGAAGGGATGACATGGAGGTGAGTCTAGTGTTCCTATGCTCGCCCCAAAATACAACATACTTCATAATCTTGCTGGTCTGCAGCACTAAAGGGCTTATGGTTACCGTCAGACGCCTGAGGAAACCTGAGATGACCTCCTTCCTTATTCTCCTGTTCCAGCCAATTAGGAACAGACCCAATCTGCCAGCAGATTCTGTTGCTCCCACCTTCAAAATAGATGTCTACGCAATGAATTATCACCACCTACACCGCTACCCTCATCTGAGACACAATTGTGTCCTTCTTGAACTAGTCCAGTGGTCTCCCCAATGGTCTGTGTTTCTGCCCCCGCTCCTCTTCAGTCTGTATTCAACACAGCAGCCAAGTAGTCTTGAAGTTAAATCACAACATTCTTCTGCACCAAACCCTACTCATCTTCCAGTGAAAGGCAGTGCATTAACAACGGCCCACAAGACTGTGCAGCATGACCCGATCCTGCTCTACCCTGTTTCTTTCCGATACCCTTTTCTGCCACCTTACTCCTGTACTCGTGTCTCAGCCCCACTGACCTCTGGCTCTTCCTGGTACACACCAGGCATGCCCTTGCCTCAGGGCCTTTGCATGTGCTGTTTCCGCTACTTGGAACTTGCCCCAGGTGGAGCCCATTTGGTTCCCTCCTCCTTTAGGTCCTTGCTCAGGTATCATCTCCTTGACCACTCTGAACACTCCTGCTAGGCCCCCATGGGCCCCTCCCCTTTCCAGATTTAGTTTTCTCCATTATCCAGTTACCACCATCTTAGAAATTACATGTTTTAGTTATTTGCTTTGTTTATTGCCTGCCTCCTCCACTAAAATGTAAGCTCCATGATAGTAAGGATTCTTATCTGTTTTACTCACTTTTTCAGAAATCACTTGTGCCTAGAAGACTGCCACACATTATGGGCTCAAAATTGAGTGAATGGAAAGAAGGGAGGGAGAGATGAAAATATGACACTTGTTTCTCACTGGTGAAGCCTGTCAGATGAAGGGCAGAAGCCGCCTACATCGGTCTGAGAGGTGAAGGCACCCAGGCCAACTGAATGGGCTTGATGGAGTTGCTCAGCTGAATTGGCTGAGATGGTCCAGCTGAAAAAACACAACTTCTAAAGAGAGGCTGCAACCTGGCTTCCCATGGGAAGCAGTGAGAGTCCGGATAGCTTACAATCTGCCATTTTAATCTTACATGTATTAAATACCACATAATATGCTAAATTTTTTCTTATAGCCCAATTTAATTTTCAGTGAAAGACTATGAAAAAAAATTCTAAGGTAAAGAGGAGTTATGTGACTACAACAAAGTAAAGCATCATCTCAGAAAAACTGCAAATGCTATGACTTGTTAACTCATTTTGCTGGTTCTGAAACTAACATTCAAAGTGGACATGGGATTTGGATCTATCTAGCAAGTAGCAGAGCTGGGATTTGAACTTGGATCTCCTTGGTTCTCAAACAAAAACCTCTTTGGTACTAAATCCCAGAAGCTCACCATAAGTGCCTTGACCTCCAAAGTGGATCTGGCCCTGCCATTGTCTAACAGAGACAAGAGGGTCTCCCAGGTGGCAAGACCAGAAACACTTAAGCTACCTCACCTTCCTGAATGCAGAGGCCGTGGGATTCCCCTCCCATGAGCAAAACCTGGCCAGCATCTGGCCCCCATATCTACGCTGTAGGTGCTGCCTGGCTTACCTCCAGTAAACGAGCACAGCAATGAGAAGGATGAGGCACACGAAGGTCAAGGCTGATACCACAATCAGAGGGATGATCCACTCCATCCTCCCTGGAGCAGGGCGGCTTATCATTCCAGAGGTGTTTTTTTCCGCTGCCAAGAGAAATCATCCCAGTTAGAGAACAGAGGTTAGTGGAGGTGGGAGCCAGAATGTGAAGCAGAGTTTTGTTCCAGTTTTGTGTGGTTTCTGGAGAACTGGGCCACTTGCTCTGGGCTGCCCCATGACAGGAGGGGCAATCTGCAGCCCTCACCATCTCCTGCCCCATCCCAACCCACACAGGGCCTCTTCTATGGGGTGCATTCTGTAATCGGCAGTTATATGGACTTACAGATAGAGCTGAAGGTGTTTTTAGACAGCCGTACAGAAGACACAGACATTCCAGCCTTACCCCAAGAACATGACTGACCCAGAAGAGCCTTTGAAGGTGCTGAGGACGTGTGCTCAAGTCTCAAAGAAGCAAGGGTGGAATGGCTGTCCAAGAGCCTCTCAGGTTCTCTAGTGCAAGGGCAGGAGGGCTGGCATGAGGGGTTTCACTAGGATAACTAGAACTGGCTGTGACTATGACGACCATCTATTCTTTGCTGCTCAGCATCCCTTACTCCTTGCTGTAGGAACAACTACACCCCGATTCTGCTTTGGGAAACCACCTTTCCCTAACAGATATAGTCATGATGGGACAATCATCGGAGTGTGCGGCTCCCTGCTCTGGTCAACGATGTAGCACTCAAGCCAGGACAATTACGTCTTGCCCTAGAATCTCACCACTGACTCTAAGACTGAACAACAGCACATCCCAGCAGGAGCACCTAGGTGCTTTTGTGTGCGGGCTTCTACCATCCAGATCCCCAGAGATCCTGTTTTTCCTAAAATGCTTCTCTAGTTTGTCCTTTGATCCTATCACCTACCCCAGATCCTTCCAAAAGCTCCTATTTTCTTTCCTGAAGACAGGAAGCCATACCACACCTTATTCCCAGAGCACGTCTGTAACCAGCAGCCACAATCTAGAGGTTAGCAGGGAAAGCTTGCCAAATAGTTCAGGATTCTCGCTGGTCAGCCAATACCTGTTAACCAGGCAGCTCCTTCCTCCACCTCTCCAGGCCCTGAATATCTTCAGAAGTCCCCGGGAGCCTCAGCAGAAGATCCTATCTTCCCTTCCACTGTGGAGAAGATGCCTGGAACATGCCAGGTGGCCCAAATGAAGCCCCGGTTGGGATGCTGGGGCTGGGAAGAGCACAGGTGCACAGAGGCAAGCAGCGAAAAAGCAAAGATCGTCTGTGACCACAGGGAGAAGCCTCTTAAAAAAATCTAACACTGGCTGCAGGCTGACTCGAGCCCAGCAAGGATTCCTCCTGCACTGCAAAAACGAGGCCAGCGTTCAGCCAGCCCGGAGTGTCCCTCTGCAGGATGGACTAAATGCAGAGCTAATCAGGTTGAGTTTCCAGGTGAGAGAAGGTAGGCTGAGTAGGGAAGAATTGGCTGTGGGAGCAGATTTTTAAAGAGGCGAGACTCTCGAGTCAGGAAGAAGTGTGTTACGATGCGTTTCACTGGATTTCCTCTAATGCATTTTATGTTGACCACCTCCTTTGTTTCAGGCACAGGCCTGTGACGCAGGCAGGACCTGATGTATCCCCAGCTCACAGGTAGAAGAAGACAGAGTCAAGTAGGTGCAGCACACTCTGATTAAAAACCACCGCAGAGCACTTTGCCATTTATAAAGTGCCTTCCTAGCTGTGCCTGTCCATTTTCTTAACCCCCTGCTCCATTTTTTCATTAGATAGGATAGATTCTTAACAAGCTCCTACTATGCACAGGCCTGGTGCAAGGGGAGGGGGACACAGCAGTACATCAGACAGTAGCACTGCTGTGCCCATGGGGAGGAATCTTAAATGGGGAGAGGCGGGCACAACCACAAGTAATAATACAATGAATGTGGCACCAGGGGATGCACAGGGGACCATAGGGGAATAGCTCTCCAAGCCCAGGTCTCCATGAGCTCCCCAACGAAGGCAAGTGTTGAAGGATGAAGGGGAGTTAGTTAGGCAGAGAGTTGGGGAAGAAGGGTGTTCTGGACGGAGACCATCAAATCAGTGGGAGCACAAGAATGAGAGGAAAGGGGACCCAGATGGGGAATTGGAAGGCAGATGAAGCCAGGGCCTTTTAGGCTAAAATAAAGAAACTGATTTTAGTCCTAAGGGCAGTAGATACTACTGCAGGGTTTTAAGCTGAAGCAGACAAAGATCAGGCATGCCTTCTCTCCATCAACATAATGCTTTTATTGCAAAGCTCTGGTGGCTGGCCAGAGAAACCAGAGTTGCAAATAAGAATTTTGTGGGGCCGGCCGGGCGCGGTGGCTCAAGCCTGTAATCCCAGCACTTTGGGAGGCCGAGATGGGCCGATCATGAGGTCAGGAGATCGAGACCATCCTGGCTAACACAGTGAAACCCCATCTCTACTAAAAAATACAAAAAACTAGCCGGGCGAGGTGGTGGGCGCCTGTAGTCCCAGCTACTCGGGAGGCTGAGGCAGGAGAATGGCGTAAACCCGGGAGGCGGAGCTTGCAGTGAGCTGAGATCTGGCCACTGCACTCCAGCCTGGGCGACAGAGCGAGACTCCGTCTCAAAAAAAAAAAAAAAAAAAAAAAAAAAAAAAAAAAGAATTTTGTGGGGCCCCCAGAAGGGGCAGCCCAGCCAGGCAATTATCTGGCTGGTGGTGGGGGGATCTCAAAGACCTGGAAGTCCTGTTAATGGAAAACAATGTTGGGAGGGTTGACGCTATAGGCCACATGTTCAGTTAAAATCAGTATCCACTCTGGGAAGCCCTTGGGTACAGGAGGGACTCTCAGTGTCTTGTTCCTCTCCTCGCTCCTTACAGAACAGGATTCTTGCCTGTGCTGCTACAAAGAATGAAAACTCCATGTCCTATTCATCCCAAACCACAGAAAGGAACTCTTGGCCAAAATAGTCCCTCACACTTATATCCCTAAACAATCACTGGCAATACCACCTCTGTGGTATTTCTATCATTTTTTTTTTTTTTTTTCCTTTTTTGAAACAGGGTCTCACTCTGTCACTCAGGCTGGAGTGCATGATCTCAGCTCACTGCAACCTCCGCCTCCCAGGCTCAAGCGATCCTCCCACTGTAGCCCTCCAAGTACCTGGAATTACAGGCATGCACCACCACGCCCAACCAATTTTTGTATTTTTAGTAGAGACAAGGTTTCACCATGTTGTCCAGCTGCCCTCGAACTCCTGACCTCAAGTGATCCTTCCACCTCAGCCTCCCAAAATGCTGGGATTATAGGCGTGAGCCACCACGCCTGGCATATTTCAGCCATTCTAAAACCAGTGAAAAATGACCACTCCAGAATTTCTTGGCCTTGGGAAGGGGTTCGGGAGTGACCATCTGGTTGTGTGGATCAGTGGCATGTTATATTGTCCCTGAAGCCCCAGGGGTATCTCTCTGTTGGTGATAATGTCTGTCCCCCTCTCCTCCTCTACGGGGTGAGTGTTCAGTTTTCATTGGATTCTGAGAGGGGTCCAGGACCCAGAAAAAGTGAGAACCAACAGCATAGAGAATAAAGGTCCAGAAGACAAGGCTCTTGAGTCACAGCCCAGATCAGAACTGGCCTCAAACTTGATTTCCACAATGGAGTCATTTCTCCCTCTAACATTTCGTGAAAGTGTGTAATAACTGGCCGGGGGACAGGGTTGGAGGGGGGATTCCCGTAGGGGGTTGGAGCCTATCTGAAATCCCACTGTGGACAGTCTCCAAATGGCAGTTTCTATGGAGGAGCTCTCAGGTTGGCAATAACTTGTAGTGTCAGTGAGAGACTTAAGGAAGTTTTTCTGACAAGTTTCACTCTGACCTTGACTAACGGCAGGCAGTTTCATTGGCTTGGGTCTTTTACATAAAAGTCAAGCAAAAATAAGAATGCGACTGAATTTCCACGTGGGGCATGATAAAGTTGATTTCATTTTCAAATTCACAGTACTGCTTTGTCTTCCTGGTGCCAGGAACCTAGAATTGGATTCCGTCTCCAGGTGATCAAGTGAAATCTGCTCCTGTCACTTTCCTAAGTAGCCCCTCATGGCCCTCAGGATACCCCTGAGTGGGGAAAGCAAGGCTTTTCAGGAGCAGGGCCTTCCATCCCCAAACCAGCATCATCTCCTGCTGTTCCAGCTACACTCACCCAGTCAGTGACCATGCTGGGCCATGGTCCCACCTCTCTGTCTTTGCCCCTCCCATTCCTACTGTAGGGAGTGCCTTTCCTTTCTTGATGCCAGAATTCATCTTATTGATCCTTCGATCCTGGTTCAAATGCCGCCTTCTCTGTGAGGCTTCCAGAAGCCGCCAGTTTGCACTATCTCTTAAGGGCAGAGCAGAGATTATAGGTTCAAATCCTGGCTCTGCCATTTTCTGTGTAACCTTTAGCCAATAACTTAAACCACTTTGGGCCTGGAGTTCTTCATCTATAAAACAGGATAAAAAGAGCCTACTTCATAGGACTGTTGGGGAATCCAATGAGAAGGTACATGTAAGCACCTAGAGGTGTGCCTGGCATCAAGCAAATGCCAAGTGCCACCCCACCATCATCATCTTGTGTTACTCTTACTGCACACATCACACTCAATTATAATCGCTCTTTTGTGACTCTAGGTCCCCAAAGGCAGGGCTGATTTCCATCTATGTATGGAAGAACAGTTACAAAGCTCTGCCTCCTACTAGCTTTGCAACTTTGGGCAACTGACCTAACCTCGCTGTGCCTCAGTCTCCTCCTCTGTAAATGGAAGTAATAATGTTGCATACGGCATTGTGGTGGGATGAAGATTGAGTTTTGCATACAAAACACTTAGAATGTTGCTTGGCACCTGTTTAATGTTAACTATTGTGATTACTGTCATCACCACCACCCCAACTTCGGCAACACCATCACCAGCCACCATCCTAGCAGCAGCATCATTACTTATCATCACCACCACTCTCTTCCTCAGCACCCTCACACCATAGCAGGAGATGGTGAGTGCACACTGGTGTTTGCTGAATCTGACTCCTCTCTGTAACATCTGAGTGTATAAGTGGCAGTCCTACAGAG